AAATGCAAGAATATATTCCAAAGGTAATCATTATATCCACTGGCGAGATTTGGGAAATCCTCCTACTATCTCTTCACGAATTCTGAATGGATTTGTTCTAGATCTACAAGAAATTCTTTGAAGGTAATGTGTCATTGATAAAAAAGACCGGAGTAGCGGTTGTTTTTAATGTACTAATGTAACCATCCTTTTTAATATTTCTTTCATATCTTTCTGTTCTGGCCCAAATCAGAAATCAGCCCATTCTTCTGGGAATGGGCCAGGCCCATGTTCGGATTGCAGCTTTATTGTTGCAAGTACACCTTTAGCGTTCAATCGTAGGTGTAAACAAATAAAGAACATGTTCGGATTGCAACTATGTTACACAATTTCTTATTCGTTAGTTGGATCATAAAATTATTTTAATAAAATATTTTGATACAGCAAAGTCTAGTTACTGCGATTCATACACGTAAGTTGTGAAGGGTGGCATCTTGAACCACAGCCGGTGCCAGTTCGCTTGCAAGGACACCTGTTACTATCACATTTAGATTTACAACGGCAGAGAGCTCCCGTGACTGTCGCTGAACTCTGCATCTTTGCTGCTTCCATTAGGGAGATTCGTTTATCTGGTATGTTCTCGAGTTCAGGGAACTCTGCACTTATGCTCTCTAGATCAGCAACTTGATAACAGGTCCCCAAGATGCCATAAGCACACCCAAGACGATAAAACCCCCATCTAAAATCTCCATAACTTTACACGGAAGAGATCTTCGATCAATACCTGTTCTATCTACCCTTGGGATATTAACTCTAAGGTAATCTCCAATGTCAAACTCTAATCGTTGTCTCTTATTTCTACTACTCATTAGATTCTCCATTGTGCGGATGTTTCGATGCACTTGCTGAACAGCAAGCTCACGTAAGACAGCATGACCTCGCCTTGCTAATTAGTTATTTAAACGATTGGGTAAGTATCGAACACAATTTATTTTATAAAATTATAAAGATTACCTTTCTCTCCTATTCCATCAGTATTATTAGCTGTATTATTACCCTCACTTGGATCTCCCA